TGGGTTTACTTTATGTGTCTGGCTCAACAAAGGAATGCCTATATCACTTCTCAAACTGAATGAACCTACTATTTCGCTTTGCAAACACACAGGGCAAGTTCTAGGCATCAAGTGTGAATCATGGAATACAGTAAAACTCACACACACATGGCACATGGCTCACTCCGGATTAGTTTATCAAGACATGCTCTTTTGAGTGTTCCAGTTAGATACAAACATACAATTTTAAGGAACTTAAACAAGATTCAACCCTTGAAGCTAAGCGTTACACTCTAGTGTCTATTATGTTCAGGTGTAAAATCGCTAAGGGTTTTTCCTCGATTTTAGCTCGTAGCCCATTAATCCTAATCTAAAACTAAAAAGAACAAAAACAAAAACTACCTATACCCGGTTCAAGCTAAACCCTTGGAAAAGAACCATTTCCTAAAGAAAAACCAAGGGGGAGTTGCTACACTACCTAAGAACAAAAAATAAAAATCTTTTAGGTCTTTTCTCTAGACTAACTTCCCTCAAGAAAATTGTCTAAAAGATCCGTCATCAGGAAGAGTCTCCCTATTCTTTTTTTTTTTACTTAGTCCCTCAAGAACTATACTCAAACTCCAAAACAATCAAAACAAAACAAAACAAAACAAAATCAAACAGTCAATTATTACAATTACATATATACAAGGAAGTGTCCCCCACCCCACACTTAAAAAGAAGACATCTCCCCATGGCTTAAAAATTTAAAGAACAGTGAGGTAAAGGAACCTCCCTAAAGGTTCACTCCTGGTCGGAGACGGTGTCTGGGTTCACGTTGCAAGCACGTCCTAGAGCTCTCAACCAGCCTAAGAATTTCTTCTCTGACTTCACCTGCCTTTCAGCCACTGCGTCCACACGGACACCCAAATCAGTGACTGAGGTACGCAACCCAGCCATCTCCTGTTCCAAAGCTGTCATGCGGGTGCTCCGGCGTGGCTGTGAAGGGCCTGCCTCGTCAACTCGTGGATGAGGGGGAACCTCAGCTGCCTCAGCATCATCATCATCAGATTCAGCATCTGAGTCATCAACATCCACCACCGGCTCTCGTCCCTCGAGTCCAATTTTTCTTGCCCGAAACGGGGCTTTCAGGGGCAATCTCCCATCAACTCGAAGGTCCTCAGGGACTCTAGCCAAGCGGCACAGCCGGGTGATAAGCGAAGGGAAGTAGTGGCCCTTAATTAGCTCAGGCGATCTAATGAACATCTCATCATGGATGAGCCGGGCTACATCAAAATACTAGTGCGTCATCAAGCAGTAGATAGCAACTGCCCGTGGCCCATTCACATCAGTGGTGTTGCTGGAGGGTAGCAGGCGGGTGTTAATGATAGTGAGCCAGCACTTTGCCTCCCAATTAAGGGACTGTGGGTGCAGAGTCTTTAGCTTTATGATCCATTTAAAGGACTTGCCAGGGATACAGATTACATCAAGAATTGGTGCCCAATCAGTTCTCAGGCGGTGATAAGCTATATAATGATCCGTCTCACCCGTGAATGCTGGAAGGCGATACACCCGGCGGATGGCCTCTATAGATGCATTAACCCGGGTATTGCGCACAGTGATAACCCCGTTCTCATATTCCGGCAGGTTTGCATAAAATTCCCGAACCATCAGAATATTAGCCTCCTCTGGTACCTCGAAGAAGATGTCCAACTAACACCTCCTTAACTCATGAAAAATATTTGGGCACTCCACCTCCAAGGCAGTCCGATCAATATGTACCTCATGGAGCAACTTCTTAGCTGCTTTCTGATTGTACCTTTCCTCTGCTGATTTGGATACAAACCTAGTGTTATCGAACTGAGGACTGGCTTGGCTCCTAGCTCGTGAGGAGCCTCCCGGTCCACTAGCGGAGGACCCGGTGTTTCGTCTCTTCCTGGAAGAACTCATTGCACCTGTCAAACAACGAAACTCCTATTAGTGAGTGCGCGAAATGTGTGACTATGGGTGGTTACTCAGACTTCACCACAACCATGCCACATTAGCTCCTTATAACTCCATTGGGGCAATTTCCCAAACACCTTGTGGGCAGGGCATTATCCTAACACATATAGCCCTCACGAGCACATCAAAACTCCTCCCAAAGCAAGCATGCTATTACACCAACACACCCCACACTTACATCATTCAAACACCTACCAACAACACCTTTCCACCACATTACTTACACAACCCCTTTACCAATCATGCTCAAAAACGAAATTTAAATAAAACAACAAGAAGAAACTACAAAAATCTACCAACAATTACAACACAATCTCTGTTAAACTAGCACAAACAACAAAAAAATACAAAAAGAAAGGAGAAGTAGGGGTGAGTATCATACCTTAATGGAAGAAAAAGGAGAGGAATGGAGATGGGGGAGTATTGTGAGTGAAGAAGAAGAAGAAGAAGAAGAAAGTATTTTGGGGGGGGGGGGGGGGTTAGGGTTTAGAGAGAGAGAAATAGAGAATTGAGGGAGAGAGATCGGGTGTTTTATTTTGTTTGGGGGGGGGGGGTTGTTTTTAATAAGGGTTATTAATTAAAGGAAGAGGAAAAAATAAAGAAAAACTAAAAAATAAAAAAAATGCAGTTTCAATACCCACCGCGGTCGCGGTGGATCGCGGTGGGGTTAAAAAGCGGAGGCAGAATGATAGTGGTTCACCGCGGTTTACCGCGGTCCACCGCGATCGCAGTGGAATTAAGGATCGAGGCAGACTGGTTGCCTATCACCGTGGTTCACCGCGATC